TAAGTCGGATAGACGTAACCCGGGGTCTGCCTGTAATTGGAAAGAGAATGAAAAATCATAGCATTCACCTTTTAGAATCTGGTTCAGTTGTTCCTCTTTGATTAAAATCACTGATCAGTATTCATTAAACTTTCTACCAAAAGAGTGTCTATGTTTTTGAAAAAGTAATAGGTGCCATTTTAACATAAGATATGATATATTCCAATTTCTGACTACTTACAATATTTTGTATTGTTGTTTATTCTTGTTAGCACTTCAGAAATAGCAGTTATAGGAGAGTGAATTAAACTCTTGTGATTCATGCATCATCTACAGAGTTCAGATTGCAGGATACAATGACATCAAATAGTGAGGAAGTCAATATGGCTTTCAGATCGCAGGCTGAATTTGCATGGCTGGCTGTTAATTTTTTTATTTTATCTATATGTGTTTAAAAAAAAATCTTATAGAATGAGCACACTTGAAATGGAAATCATTAAGAAACAGTCATTCTTTTGAGTAAAACTACTCTTTAAGCTATAAAAGGAACATTTTTTTAACAATTCTGTATGTCAGAGTCTTCAAAATGGTTTTGAAGTCATTTATTAATTATAATCACTGCAAAGAGATAAGACTGCTGGAAGTAAAAACTAAGGTGAATAGCAGCCTACAAATGCTACATTTTTGGTTCAACAATGATCACTGCCTTTTTAGCTGGATAGTTTTCTGTATTAATTTATGATTACTTCGGCACTTACTACTTGTTCTGGTTTTAAATAGTATCACATTCTTATTGGCAATGTGTTTTTTGTTAAAGGGTCAAACTTTGGAACCGAAGCAAGATTCATTTCAAGGTCAGGAATCTTCAGTTATGATTGACCAGAAGCCTCCATTATATGGTCAACCCTATCAGGGGCAAGGGGCAGCAATGCCAGGAGGTTTTACTAACATGCAGGGACAACAGCAATCTTTTAATTCAATGATGAATCAGATGAGCCAACAGAGTGGTTTTCCACTGCAAAGTATGCATCCTAGAGCAAGTGTGATGAGACCCCGAACCAATACACCAAAGCAGCTCAGAATGCAACTCCAGCAGAGGCTTCAGGGGCAGCAGGTAATCTTTTTGCTTTTGTGTTTACATTTTTATCTTATTCTAAAAGATAGAACAACTTAATTACAAGGAGAAAGGGGTACATTGCTTCAGAATAATAAAGGGAACATTAAAATTGCTATAGTAGTTCATTCCAGGGATAGTCAATATCTTGCCTGATAGTGGCCAATATCATGATTTAAACTTTAGAAGAAGGTACCAGAATCTCAGTCAGGTTACCTATGGAATAAGTTGCTCACAGAAGATCTCTCTTCCTAGAACTTCCCTCTTAGAGGTTAGTTTGGCCCTATGGTAGAAAGATTTATGTTCCTTCCCTTTTTTTACTCTCTTTAAAGTAAACTCTGAATGATCTAATTTAGCTATACACCTGTCCAGTCTTTATTCTGAATTTTTAAGCTGTTGGCCTCAATGATGTCTTCTGCCAAAGAACTCTACAGTAAATTTATCTGGGTTTGTTTTTAATAAATAAATAGCTTTTCAACTTATTTACTTTGCAAATTAATTAACTCGTAATTTTCAGAACAATGAATTCACAGATATCAAAATGTGCTATTATCTATCAATCACTTTCTCTATGAATAGATGGATTAATATATTACTTGATTTGATTAATTATATTAAATATAAATTAATGGTGATAGAAAGTTTGTTCTCCCTTATTAATCTGATTCATTTTTGATAATTTGATGTTATGATGATAGGCAGAGTACAATAAACTAGATGCATTTTAACACTGCTGCTTTAAAAGTGCTGCTTTAATAAGATTATTTGTTGTCTCACAGTTTTCTTAGCATAATAGTTCAGTTTAATTGGTATGTCCCTCAGTACAGTACAACTTTTATTACGCAGAAGTCATTGGGGAACACTGAATATGTTTTGAATAAAAAAAAATTTCTAATAGCAGAGGAAATTTTTATTTCAAATGTAAAAGGTAGTGACCAAGTTCTGGATAACAGTGTATCAGATAATAAAGGCTGGGGAAATTAAGGGAGTGGCTACTATTGAGTGTGGTATTCAGCACTTCCCACCGTTTAGCTTTCTTCGTGGTTGTGTCATGACATTGAATCAGGCTATGGATTTTGGGAGCAATTGTCATGTGTCTTATACCTCTAACAGTGTCCATCCTTGAACTAGAGATGAAATCTGTAGTTAAATATATTTTGGAACTCATAAAAGTTGATCTATTAAATTATGCTTCTAATAATTTTAGTTATAAAATATTTTATGATAAAGTAAAGCCTTTTAAAGTCAGGACAATTAATCTGAATATGAATTTAATCTTTATATTTAAACAGTTGTATGGTTCAGCATTATTTATCTAACTAGGGAAAATATTAATTTCTAGATTCTAGATGCAAAAGTTAAAAAGATCATGTTTGCAGAAAGGTGGTTTCTTTCCTTCCCCCCTCCATAAAGTGTTTAGCCATTGTTACTTAGTTTGGTGGTTATAGCCTGGTTGTTTTTCTTTTTTTGTGGGGGGTGGTAAATTCCTATTTCAAGCAGATTTATACAGCCCACTTACACACTGCTAACTGTCTTCCCCAAGTTTCTCAATCAGACCCGTCAAGCACTTGAGATGAAAATGGAAAACCCGGGTACTGGTGGTGCCCCAGGCTTGAGGCCAGTTATGCAGCCACAAGTGGGGTCACAGGTGAGTAATCAACAAACTAACCCTTTACAGATTGCAGGCTATAAAATAGACGAGAACAAATTTGTCACACCCACAAGGTCCTTGTAGAATTCAGGCCTTCTCTCATGGTTCCATAGGGTATACTTATTTTTTGGTGGCTCAAGAATGATCCTCATTAACAAGTGGGTAATTTCTCCCACAATTCTGAAACTGCAGACCTGTCAGTGGTCTGTTATGATATGCTATAGATGTAGAGTGTAAGTAATATGTGAAACGAGTGGTATGAGGATAACATCTTGTATTAGCTTTTAGAATGAAAACTTGATATATTGATCATTTTAACGCTGTCAGCTGGCTTTCATTAATTTGAATTCCATTGCTAGTTCTCGATGTGCTGGGTCCTATGGGTACACAGTATTTACATGGATTTATTCTCTGGCATGCCTTTAATTTTACTTGTTAATTATCATCCAATACATTTTTTTTGTTTATTTGTGGGGTAGCAGCAAGGTTTTCTTAATGCTCAGATGGTGGCTCAACGCAACAGGGAGCTAATAAGTCATCATATCAGACAGCAGAGGATGGCAATGATGATACAGCAGCAGCAGCAGCAGCAGCAACAACAGCAACCTCAGGCCTTCAGTCCACCACCAAATGTGACTGCCTCAGGAAGCATGGACAGTTCTCTGGCAGGTCCCCCAATGGCTCAAGTTCCTTCACAGCAATTCCCATATCCGCCTAATTATGGTACTGACGCTAACATCTCAATTCTGTGTCTCACTCGCTCCATTTTCCATTTCTTCCGTTTTTCTCATCTACCTAAATATTCCAAATCACAATGGGGCTTAAGATAAATATGTGTATGGCTGGGGAATTTTCAGGGATGCTAAACCTGTTTTGTAGCCAAATATTATTAAATGGAACTCTCTGTCATAGTGCAGGGGAGCTATAAAATTATTTATCCATAGTTGAACATTTATTTCCCATAACAGCTGTTGTTGCCACAAATATACAGGCAAGTCCTTTCTGTTTGTGAAGATACTGTATAAACAGTGAAAACCCAAGAATTTATATAGAATTGTTATGCAAAACTCTCTGGTTGCTGCTTCCAGAATTTGCCATATGCTGCCTATTAATTAAAATGTCTGTTTCAGCTTCCCCTTCCTGCAGATATTAAAGCTAGTGAAAGTGAGAAGGAAATGGAAAGGATTTAGGATGGCTAAGCTTTTGTTGGTAGTAGGCAGTTTAAGCACAGAGACCTTCAGTATACAGATAGAGTGCAGGGATGAGAGGTGAGTGTTGGGGAAAGCTGTTAATCTGTGTAGCTTGTTTACATCTTGGACTAAGAAATTCCTTAAGAGTTTATGTTTTAGGTGTCAGCATTTCTTCAGTGCAGGAAATGGTTATTACCTTATAAATGTGGAGCTCCCTTAGTTCTCATTTAAACAGTCAAAATCAAAAGAGTTAAATGTGATGCCAAAGAGTGTACTGTTTATTGTGGAACTCAGTGATATGTTTCCTGACATAACAGAGTCTATCACTCTTCTCTCTCTTTTCCTGCCACCCCATTTCTGTTTTGATAACTCTTTTGCCTGGATAATTCTATGCTGTCATGTTATCCATAGAACTTTTCAGTCTTTCATTTATAGAAAGCAATGAAATATTTATTTTAATTCATGCAACATCTGTATCTGGTTGTCCTCAAAATCCAGTTTTGAGAGCGAAAAGTCATTGTCATGTATCCAGAATCATAATCCCAAGTAAATTCTCTAGGCTGTTTGTTACAGAATACTACAATCATTTATATCTGACTAGCATTCTGCAGCATTCAATTAAATGTTGACATTTAATTAGAGCAACACATTACTGATTCTCATAATTTAGTCATTTAATAATATGGATATTACATATATTAATTCCTTATTAGCTACTTTTCTTATAATTTCTCATGCTTATCTATAATGCTATATAAATAATATTGAGAAGGAAGATATCTTCACGCTTTTTCCCATATGAGTTATGAGGAAAATGTAACCAGCTCGTATTGAAAACACTATAGTACCTTTCAGATATTGAAGGAAAACTTTTAAAAACACTGCTGAAAAATTGACTACTTCCATTTATAAATCATTTTGCTGATATAGCCTACATGTGTCTTTTCCCTTTCCTTTTGCTATTTCACTGATATTATTTGCAAAACCAGGATTTTATTGCTAAATGTTTCTGCACCTGCTGCTTATTTGTTACATTAAATTATAATTTGATATCACAGCTTGTTGTTGCTATGGAAAGGATTCTAGATGGGAAATAAGCTGCAGAAGTGAATGAAGTTTTAAATGTCCATATACACATGTACAAATCCATTTCCCATGTAAGGGCAGTGCAAACTAGTATTTAAGAATAAATATAAATCTGATGCTTCAGGACTTATCATGCTTGTTAACATATATTAAATGTGATATTTTTCATCTTCCATTGCAAGGAGACTAGAAAATACTTAAAGACAATTAGCATTTGTTTTGTTTCTTTTATTGCAAGGAATAAGCCAACAACCTGATCCCACCTTCAGTAGAGTAGCAAGCCCTCCAAACCCAATGATGTCATCAAGAATTGGACCCTCCCAAAATCCCATGATGCAGCATTCTCAGGCAGCAGCAATGTATCAGTCCCCTGAGATGAAAGGCTGGTCATCAGGAAACATGGCCAGGAGCAGGTGAGCACCAAAGACTTAGGTCAATATTTTTCAAAGGTGTAACCACTGGTTTTGGGCGTCCTGGCTTTCAGGTGCTAAAATTCAGACTCTTCAGAGTTTTGAAGAATGGGTGGTTAGCACTTTCTGAAAATCATGGATGAAATCTTGGCTCCATTAAAATCGATGGCAGTTTTGCCTTTACCATTCAATTGTTTGAAGTTGGACACCCAAAATCACTAGCTGCTTTACAAAATTATGGTCATATTTTTTAAAATAAACACACACTATTTCTAATTATATGTTGTAGGAAAAAACTAAGTAATTAAAACCTACGTTCATGCTGATGAAGACAATAGATGTGTTTTATTTTCCATTTAAAGTGTGTGCACATCTGTGTGTGTGTGTGTGGGTGTACCCACACCTGCACACCCATAATTATTTTATTAATTATAACACTAATTATTTTTACTAAAGGTGTAATCCAAAGATACATAGGTCAAGATTATGATTTAAGGCTTTCATGAATCTCTTGTCCCCTCAATACTAAGATTAAGGGTGTCATGGGAGTCTTTATGAAACAGTATCTTGGCCACTAAGCTTAACTTGTAACCTTTTTTCTCATTTCCAAAGTCCTCACAATTCTTAGTGTGTGTGGTGAGCTATTTACAAGTATTTCAAAGCTTTCCGTGTGTGTGTGTGTGTGTGTGTGTGTGTGTGTGTTTTCTGTAACTTAAGTACACATACATACTACTTAGCAGTGGTGAGAAAGGAAAGCTAAAGTACACATTTCACCAGTATACTAGTTAATATGAAATTGTCTTTTGGTTTGGAAATGTGACTATGATTGTTTCAATGTAAACCGGAGTGCGGAACCTTTTTTGGGTCCCGGGCTGCTGGTCCACAGATAAAACACACTGCAAACAAATGAGAAGCAAAAAAACCTTCACTGACGCAGCCCCCAACTGAGAAGGAGAAAGACACTCCTATGTTCTCCTCACAAACCAGGGTCTATGGAGGCCACAGTTAAGACATTTAGTGTGGGGCAGCAAGGAGGCTGGAGGACCAGCACAGGTTCTGCAATTTTGGAAGGAGAGCCCTGAGCCTTGGGGACCAGATCCAGGCAAGCCAGGGGTACATCTGGCCCCCGGGTCTGAGGTTCCCCACCCCGATGTAAACCATCTAGAGGGACATCTGCTGGTCATATAAATCCACTGCATGGTTGTGAATGATCTTGTTTTATATTCTGCGTCAACCAGTTTTGAATTCTGAGAACATGAACTTCAAGTGGCTATGTAATGCCGAGAGGCGGAATGGAACCTGGCACCTCTGGAGCTTAGTCATGAGCCTGTACAGCAGGGGTGGGCAAATTGTGGCCCATGGGATGGATCCGGTATGAAGGGGTAGTCCCCGCAGGCCCTGATCTCTATATTTACCTGCTGCTCTGCAGGTGTCGGGTGATTGCAGCTCTCATTGGTCATGGATCGCTGTTCGCGGCTAATGGGAGTGTCAGGATTTGGTGTCTTCTTTCACGCTGCTTCCCAATGATCCATGGACGACAAGAGCTGTGATTACCTGATACCTGCAGAGATGCAGGTAAATATACTGGTTTTGGCCTGCCAGGGAATAACCCTGGAGGGCCACTGTATATTTTTATTGTCCACCCCTGCTCTATAGCATGAGCTAAAAGCCAGGTGACTCTCAGCTAAGGCTGTAAAGCAGACTCATTTTCTCTTTTTCTCTGTAAGTGGTCTCAGTGCCACAAGATGTTACAATACACCACACCCCAAACAGCTATGCATTCTTTCTTCTGCAGCACTTAGTGCTTTGCTATAGCATTTTCTTATTCATGATCCTGCAACTGTCTTTCATTGGACCCAAATGTAAAACACTGTCTTGCATTTTGCAACGGAAAAGGATTTTGATCAAGATAAAGTGAACATTTTAGTTTCTATCCAACAGATAAAAAAATATCATGTCTTTGTCAAAAAACTAGTTCTTAGAGACTAACAAAAATATATAGTATCATGAGCTTTTGTGGTCAAAGCTCACTTCAGATAAGTGGAGAAAAAAGGAAAAATCTCCAAATTTTAAGCAGAAAAATAAGGGGGAGAGGGAACTCACACTTTCAATTAGGGATGTCAACATGTAGACAACTGTATGATAACCAATAAGTCTGGGCTTATCAATTAATCCTGTTGACTACATGTATTTTTTCCCCCTCTTGCTGCCTTTGTATCAAGGGCAAGAAGGGGGGGGCGGAAGTGGGCTTCCCACGAGCACCGGATCCTTCCCTTCATTCCCCACCCACACTCCTGTGCTGCTGCCTCTGATAAAGGCAGGCAGGAGCCGATACATGTGGGGAGCTGGCTGTATGGGCATGCCGGCTCTGCGAATCTGCCTGCCTCTCCCCTTGCTGCCTCCTAAAGGGGGTGCAAGAGGCAGCTTAATATCCGTCTCCCTCCAGCACCAGCTCCATGGTGCCTCCCCTCCCTCTGCAGCAAGGGCAGTGGGAAGGGAGGCTGCCGCAA